ATTCCTAGGGGTGGGCTGGGATACGCAGGGACAGGGCCATCTCCCCCACGTCAGGGATGATCATGGGGATTTCCCAGCTTCTGGCCTTTACTGGTTGCTACATGGGTCCAGGAAGGATTTTTTCCCCCCTTTCTGCTGGTCCATGTGTTCCCCGAGAGGCGCTGGTGCTGCAGCCCAGGCTGGGGCTGGGGCTGGGCTGTGCCAATGCTCCTGCTGCACCAACCCCGCAGGGTCCTGGCTGGAGGGTCTTGCCCCCACGCTCAGGCTCAGCCCCACGCTACACTGGGGCAGGAAGGGATTTCCCCCCTGCTCAGACTGGTCACACTGGGGGGTTTCCCCTTCCTCTGCCTCGTCCTGGGCTCTCTGCAGCGCCCATGACCCCCTGGCAGCAGCGGGATGTTGGCGGCCGCGGCCCCCCCCTGTATCCCAGGGGTGGGGGTGATGCCTGGGGCTGTGTCAGGGGTGAGTGTGTCGTGTGGCTCCGAGTTCACACACGGGGTTTGTTTGGGGTGGGGTTGATCCTGACTCAGGCAGGGCTTGGACTAGATGTGACCCCGCAGCTCCCTGCCGGCCCCGCGGCTCTGGGACTCTGATTCCAAGTACCACAATACAGTTGCCCACTCATTAGCTGCTAACTGTAAGCTGCTTCACTCCCTCCCTCCCACAACTGCTGGCCCGGAAACTCACCCAGGGTCCTTCCAACTCATGCTCCACAGCGAGCAAAGGGTTTGGAAAGCCAGGCCCCCCCGGGGCACCTGCTAGGTCCATGCAACAGCGCAGGTCCCAGCACAGATTCCTTCTTGCTTCCACCAAAAGCCCCGTTTTAAACAGCAGATAATCGATTTTGCCCCCCAGGCTGGTACACACGATTGGTGCACGCAGCGGGCAGGTCTCCAGGCTAATTTCAGACCAGCTAATACAGGGAACAAGAATAGGCATCCAAGACTTTAGGACTTGGACGTGTTAAGATTAAATTGCCTTCAAATCTTGATAAGCTTGTTGTGCCTCCAGAAATACATGCTTCTTGTAACTTCTAATCTTCGCTTGCCAGGCCTTATCTGTGCAGTTTGGGCTTTTATATCTTTTGGCGATTGAGTTTGCTATTAAAGATGTACATCTTTGTATGCAGAGAGTGTTTAATGTGGTGGGACCGGTTCTTGGTTTTCAGAGCCCACCTGAGGTCAACGTCCTGGCGCACACGCCTACAGTCTTGTGAGCTGGCCACGCTCCCCACCCCCCCGATTGGGCTGGGACAACGAGGGCTCTGTGCGCGGGCGCCACGGTCGTCCCTCCTCGAGCGGCGCGGCAGTCCTAGAGCTACGGCCCGTAATGTTTTTGCTCAGTTTATTAATCCCACGTTCAAACTACAGCTGGGTTTCCTTTGGCACCAGGGCTTTTATGGCACTCTGGCAGGGAAGCGCGAGTCCTACCGGACTCGGTACAGACACCAGATCAAGGGCAGGGCATTATCTGTGGGTCTGAAGATGGCCGATGAGACGGATCCAGGATCGAAAGGCTCTGCCGCAGCTCGGACACGTGTTTCCGTGCGGGGCGGGTGGCTCCCGGCTCTTGGCTCGGTCCGTGACACGCTGTTTCTGCCGCTCCTGCTTTTCCATCTGCTGTTGTGGCGAGGCTTCAAAGCACCGAGCTCCCTGCAGCCGACTCCTGCTCCGTTTGGGCAGAACTGGGCAATCGTCTCCCACGAGCTGCTGTCGATGCCGCCTTGTTCCAAGCTGGCCTCGAAGACGTCCTTGAAGCGCTTTCTCTCACACGTGCGCCGTGGCTGAGCAGGGGGAATTAAGACTTGATCTGCGGGGGCTGGAGTCAGACACCCGGATGACGCCGCTGGTCCGGCCACGCTGATGTCGGATGATTGTCACCGACGCTGTAACCCTCCGGCCCACCCTGCCACCCCCTTCCGGCCCCACCGTCCTGTCCAGATCCACCCCAGGGCCTAGGTGTGTCTGCCCGCCCTCTCCCACGGCGCACAGCCCCGTGTCCATGTGCCATAGACCCCCGCTCCAGTGCCCAATACACCAGGCCTCACTGGCTTCGCGCCCCATAGCCCCTCAAAAGCCCCACAGTGTATGCCCTATTACACTGCAGCTCCATTAGCCAAGCCCCTTTGCCCCATAGACCCCAATGCTCCACAGCTTCAATGGCCCAGCCCCACGCCACGTGGCTCCCGCCTTTCCCTTGTTGACACTTTATTAGCAGCATGAACACAGCCCCACTTCCGGGTCCGGGAGCGCGCATGCGCACGCCGCATCACTAAAGCCGCTCTCCCTCTCGACGCATGCGCAGTCCGAGATCCGATCGGCGGGCCGCGATGCGCATGCGCTTCTACCCGCGAGTTTGCACTCTGCGCAAGCGCGGGCGGCCCCGGCGGGGGAGGCGCGCATGCGCAGTGCGTCTGGGCCTACATGTGAGCCTGCAGGTAGGGAGCGGACACCGTCGGGGCTAGTTCCGTCCGGGCACTTCCGGGGTCGGGCGACCCCTGACCCTTGACCCCTGCCCCGGGGTGGCACCAGGCCCGTCCGAGGGGCACGTGCCCTGCACCCCGGGATCGGGCCCCTGCGCACGGTGCGTGCCGCGCTGCTGGGTGTGCGAACAGTGACGCGCGTGTCCCCGTCCCAGGGCGCCGGAGCCGCGGCGCGATGGAGAAGTTCGGCATGAATTTCGGGGGCGGCCCGAGCAAGCGGGACCTGGTGGAGACGATCGAGTCGCAGAAGAAGCAGCTGCTGCAGTACCAGGCGCGCCTGAAGGACGTGGTGCGGGCCTACAAGAGCCTGCTGAAGGAGAAGGACGCGCTGGAGGCCAGCGTCACGGCGCTGTCGGCGTCCCACGAGGCGCACGGCGGCCCCCCCGCCCCGGCCGA